TTTGTATGATTGTATGTGATTCTAGCAGGAGGCACTTTTAATGAGTTCTGTAGGCCATACTTCAATGCAATCTTCAATGCATCTAGTTTTTATCTGTTTATATATTCAGTTTAAGAATTCCCTGAGATGCATCATGCTGTTAATAGAACATTTAATGCCTAAAGGGTGTTTTTAAAGATTGCATTAAAACCATTCCCCAACTACAGGATCAATTATTTGCTTCTATTAAAATAATATTCTGATGTTGGCTACACATTTCCTATGAAACGTGCAGGCATGCTGAAATCTCTCAGGGAGCTGTTTCTGTCATGTTTCAAACAGGCTCTGACAAATCACTTATTAAGAGAGAATCCCCGCTATAATTTTGGCTTTGGTGCAGTTTAATTGTCTGAGAGAAGGGCATTTGGTGGGATCAAACCAGAGAACCTATTCACACAGCATTCAGAGAGTAGCAGGGGTTTTTGTCCCCCACGAGAAAGACGAATTCACAATGAATTGGACAAGCCGTCATATTCCAGCACTCCAGCACCAATATGATGGAAACTGCTAAGTGTTGGAATCTGAACTAGGCTCCGACTGAGCAATGACAGGCGATAAAATGGCATGGAAATCGCTTTTGGATAGCTCAACTTTACCGAGGTTTGAAATGTGTGCGTATGTAGCTGCAGGCTAAGTTGCATGGCAAACAGCAATGGCATAAATGGAGAAAGGGGTGGGCGGAAGTTAAGGAAGAAAGGCACAAGGGAAGCGGATGTCCTCTCCGCTTGATATGGAACAGCTCTTTTAAATGTGTGGTTGCCCATAGGCCTGGCGTGAGCGGAGTCTTGCCAGTGGCACTTCATTCAGTTTGACTTGAAATGCAAGACACAGCTTATCCAGGAAGTTTTTGTTGGGATCCCACACTGCTCACTGGCCCAGTATATCTGCCCGTTCAGAGCGCAGTGTCTTCCAAATGCTCTTTGTTGTTAGTCCTTCTATAAAGGGCCAGTTATTCTTCCAAGGTCGGGCTGTAGCTGTTTTCGTGATCTATACTTCGCTGCTTCATTTCATCTTAAGAGGCACGGCGAAAACAGAAGGTAAACAGAATGTATGTCTTCGATAGAAACATCCGAGGATTTCAATGAAATATTTCAGCCATCCTAATGTAATCATCGGTTTCCGACCACGCTTCTTTTTCATAAGCGCTCTTCGCAGTCACTCTTGGTTATTGCCGCAGCAGTTAACGCCAAGGACAGCTCATAATGCGCTCCTCTATTTATCCAGCACTTGTAATAAAAACAAAAGGCCTGTGATATAAAAGTCCTCTGGGCTACTAAAGCTCTGGTGTAAATTTTTGGCTGTCCTTTACAGTCTCCTTAACCTTTAAAGTCGACTTCCAGTCAAAATTGGCCCTATTTACTTTCTTAATACATGTTCCTGGTTTGATTGTAAACAATTCATTAGTCTTAGTTTATGGCAATAATAGCAAATAAAAACCATTTCCCGCTATCAAGATAGCTGATACTGCTGCATGTTGTCGTTTGGACTACTTTGGTACTGATTTTTGGAATAAATTATTGCAATTACTTGGTTATGTTTAGAATTTAGCTGTTCAAATCTAACTATATAATATATATATAATATGTATGTTAATACTGTTGGTGGGTATGTTTAATGTTGGGGATAGGATTAAAAGGTATAAAATATATCTATAAAATGGAAAAAGTGAAAACTAAGGTGTAACAACTATAGATGAATCCCACACACTGATATAGCTTGCAAATCATATTCAATAATGGTTTCATCATGCAGCCTTGCAAGACTGAAATGTTGCATTAAAATATGATTATCAAGCTGTCATATTTTCATCTATTTTTGTTAGTCTATTTGCTTCTATTTATTCATACGCAACTGCTTATAAGATTGACAAGGATCTGTAAAAAAAAAATATATATATATATTTCTGTCATGACAACTCTCGGAGGGATTGGCATGGTAATGTACATGACAATGTTAATGTATTTGGTCTTGGCGGAATAGATCTGCTATGCAGCTGCTGCTGCGGCAGAGCAAGTACCGAGACTTGCTACTGCCAATACATCCAAAACATGCTGCTGTGGGCATGTAAGAAATATTGCTGCTGCAAATATACATGAAATAACCCCCATAGAGCGTACATAAATCACCTCATAGCAGATCTATACAGGTGGAGCTGGGGAAGGTGGAAGGTATCTGAAGCAAGCTGCAACTACTACTGCAAGCACTAGTCATATATTTAAATGCTGAGCAGCGAGCTCATTGGCTACCGATACAGGAAAGAACCAATCAGCTGTGCCATGTGATGATGTCATTAGGTCAGATTGAGTTAAACCTATCGGACTGCGCCTGTGTTATATAAATATATATATAAATAAATATATATATATATATATATATATATATATATATATATATATATATATATATTGTTGTAACTGTAAATGTTCTATATGAACGGCTACATATTAACAAAGAGACCAGGCTGGTTTTATATTGTTGACGAATGGTTAGGTTTGGGGGTCATGAACACAGATGGCAGCAAACAGGTTTTGCAGTCACAGGCCAACTGAGCAACTGCCATTGAGATGAATGGGAATGCTAACGGATGGCTTTCTACAGGTATTATTCATATTAATGAATTCATATGACCTGGTCTGTTCTGTTTTCACCAGCCTGTCTATTCCCGATTGATAAAATAAGTTCCCACTCTGCATTTGAATCATACCTCAGATTACAGAAGTAAAATGGGTTTTCAGTCAATCTTTCACCTCAAATTGATACTAAAATCTCTATGCGCTACATTGAAATTAATTTCCAGAAGTAACGAAAGATAAAATACTATGGCAAACGCTGAGGAATGAGAGAGAATGCGAGAAGACCACTGGAGGATTTGAGACAGACAGTAAAGTGAATACCATCTTGGATTGTTAGACGTCAACATTTCGCCAATAGTTCCCTTGCCACATTGTGACCTTTCCGATATGTAAATCTGGGCTCAATCCATTGTCACTTTGACCCTCTTCTCCTGCTCTTCAGAATGGGATGCACTTTACATTCAGTGAGCTCTTTACACTGACGCATAGGTCACAGAGGCTGTATTAGCTCACTGTAAAAACACTAGTGTGTGGAGACCAGATGGACTGCCGTCCTCTGAGGCTTCTATTATATAAAGTGCTATAGTGGGCTGGGAATCTTACTCAGAACCGGTTCAGTTTTAAACCAGTCATTTTCCGTCAACGGTTCTTGAACATTCGTGTTTTCATGCTGATACATATGAAACACCGCAGTAAAAGGGTGGTTAATGCAATGCAATAACAAAGTAAATAGACTATAAAAATATTGAATGAAATGGTCAAAAAGATTTAAAAATCTCATGTTATCAGTTTGAATCAGTCTAGTGAACTTGATCATATATATAATGTAAAGGTATAAACAAAACATTAAAATATGATTCCAAAACATTATTCAAAGTACATACACAGAAATTGTTTATGGAATCATTAAGGAACCAGTATTATTATTAAATCCTCCTAAAAACGCCTAGGGCTAAATTACTGAAATCAATTGAATGCAGCGTTTGACCTAAACATTTTAAATATGCATTGCCTATGCATAAGAAACGACACCAAATACATTGAATCCATCATTCATTGATGTTATCAATGGTTGATAAATCCGAGGATTATGCATTTGATTTGACGTGTTTACAAATCTGATTTTCACTGATGTGTTTAACATCTGCCATATTAATGCAGAAACGTTTGGATTGTGAATATTCTCAATGAAAAATAATAGAGTTTATGGGAACTGCAGCACGATGCCATTAAATCCAGATGCACTATAAAGGACATTTGAAGTGACAGAGCTTTCTCACCTCAGGTGTCACAGCTGCCACCTCTCTCAAATAATGCCTTACTTCAACTTAACCTCACAGTGTGGTGCAACACACCTAGTGGCCTCCAATAAAACAGCATTTCTTAAAAGACAAAAGCAAAACCATGCATTTTTAAGAGTTTCATAAAACACACTTTAAAAGACTGACCTCACTATTCTGATCCTTTCCCAAGAGATTTAAGACATAAATCACTGGGCGATAATGATTTTGCCAAGTAGGGCGAGTTCCTGGAACAGCATCCCAATTGACCCAACAGATTTTAGGGTTAGGGTTAAAGTAAGGGCCATGCTAGTTTGACATAAATGCTGTCCAGGAGCAACAAAACATGTTGATCAAAGAATGTGCTGATTCTCCAACTGTATCTGTACAAACGCTGTTGATGACATTGGTGATGTGATGTAATTAGATGCATCTGTGTTGTACTGGAAGAGGAACTGTAGCATTCATTTTAATGTACGCTAATGTTGAAATGATTGCACTTTGAACAGCAGTCACATCTATATTCAGACATTTTAAAACAGAAAGGCTGATAATGAAGTGTTCTCTATCATTACAAATTGTAGCTTGTCTTGTTAATGCTTTTTAGTCATCTATAGTGTGTTAAGCGCTTGACCTTCTGAAAAGTATGTCATTTATTTTAATGAAGCTCTGCAGCACTCATTGTATTGTAGTACTACTTTGTTCGAAACACAAATCTGTATGTATTTGTAATATAAAGAACAGACTTAATAAGAAGATCAAACTCAACTGACAATTTATTTTAATATTCTGCTGTTATGTAGACAAAATGATCTGTCATGTTTTAGCCATTTAATCAAATGTCAGCAAGCTCTAACCTCTTATAGGTTGGGTTGCACATTATGTGAACTTGATTCTGTATGCATGAACAATCATGTTATACATTTAAGTGATTTGTGTTATTGGCCAGTTTCATGTAAGTTAATGAATACTGTTTAATATTAATCACATGTATAGCTAAATACATGTATAGCTTTTTTTTTTTTTTTTTGGTCCATTTCTTGTCTTGATGTTCATACTATTGTGAATTATCCTGTGCTTCTCTGTATTTTCCCTGCTTTACTAACAGGAAACCATTCCAAAAAACAGGGCGAGGATTTATCAGATAACGACGGTGATGAAGATGAAGGTATTCACTTTTGTGACGAAAGACAATTGCATGTCTTGGATTTTTGCCTCTGTACTTTGAATGCAGCCCTCCCTTTTGCATCTTTTTATCTTCTTTCATGGTCTAAAGAGTCATCTGAGTCTTTGTATGGCTGTGGAGGATGCGGAGTGTCTCGTATACTTCAATACTTAGCATGTCAGGGAGATTGTAAAGAGTGAGAGTGAATTGAGTTGGTGTTGCGTGGCTTTGTATGTGTTTTCTATCTTCTGTTTCTGCTGTATATGGTATATCTGAGGCTAGAATAGTTTTAATTAGTGCAGTGGTTCTCAGCTGGTTTTGCTTCACAACCCAACATAGAATCTAAATTATTTATCATACAAAAATGTACTTAAAATCAGATATTGAAATCTATTTACATGACCATGAACAGCATAAACCCAAGTGTTTTCTAAATGTCTTTACATTTTATTAGTTTTAATTATCAACACGATCTCATAGCTAATCATAGTTATTTATACAGTAGTAAGTAGTAAACATATGTTATTATTATTAATGTAATGCATTGTAAACATTGTAAGTATGATTTTGCATTCTGTTCAGTGTAATTTCTGGTGCCGTTTCAATTTGTCTTGAAGGATTCCATGACTTTTCCATTGACCAGTTTTAAAATGTTAAATAATTTAATCACTACATTTTTTTTAAATAATATATAATGTATATACTGTAAAATAGTAATCAGTTCCATAACCATATTACTGTTATCACACAGAGTAATAGTAAGTACTTCGACTTCAACAAACTGCTAAACACAAACGTCACGCAAAGCTTTGACCTCTACATGAGAAGCATTGCGAATAGTATCACAGAAGGTTGATTTGATCATTTATTCATTTACATAGAATATAGTACATTACATACAGTCTCGGAATGTTATGATGTGCCTATGACTTTGTGTCATAAAAAAACACTTCATAGTTCGATGCACAGGATCTGTCACTCTGGATCTGTCACTCTTTCATCTCCTGGGTCCGCGGCAGATGAAGTCAAAGGTGAAGTTTTACTTCAAATGAGTGTTGTATTGTGGTACTTGACCAGCATGCAACATAACGCAAGCTATATTGCTGAAGCTTGATGTCTCGTTCCATTGAGTCTCATTTACTCACGTAATAGTTGTATAGAATTCGATCCTAGGCCATAATACAGCGCAAAGACATGTTTTCATGATGTGTTAATTAAAATCTATTTATTGTGGCTTGGCTCCTGTATATGTTTTTCTAGCTTGCAGGACTAGTGCTGTATGTATTCAGCAACATGGAGACACATATGAGGCAAGCATGGGGTATCACAAGACAGTTTTTAAAATAGGCGAATGGATTTAGATGAGGAGAGAGAGGCTGACAAGTTGTGGTAAGAGGATTAGCAACGGAGGAGGAAAAAGCATGCACGCGAGAGAAGTTGCCAATCAGCAAGAGCATTGTTCAATTTCAGCATTTATCTTGGGATATTCTGGGCTCAGGGTGGATATCTGGCGAGATTAGAATAGGGAAAGTATTCTTCCCCAGTTACTGCGAAAGGCTTAAACCCCAGAATCTATCTCAAATCCTGTTATTGTTGTTCCTTTATGCTCCTAAACTGACAGTAGATTTTATAGGTGGGGGACATGTTCAGTACTGGAGTTATGGTCTAGTTGTACACCCCTACTTTGCCTTTGTTGGTTTAGACCAAGTGCTGCTCTCAGTTCTCAGCTCTCGTGTTCAGGTGCTGCAACAAAGCAGATACATTGGCTTTGTGTTTGCCATTCAACTGTTGTACTTCACAGCAGTGTCTAAGGCCGAAATGGAAACTGAAGCACCTCACGTTTGAAGCAACTCAGTCGGGGGTATTAACAGCAGTGTTAATCGATACACTTTCTTCAATACCAGCGGAGGCAGAGGTCTTGTAATGCACACTTCTTAGCCCCCAACATGTAGGGAAGCTTCCCTCTGGAGGATTTGGACTTCCAGTCCAAAGCGGTTGCATTACCTTTGCAATTGGCTGTTTCAGACAATCCAATTTCTGACTTGTGCAAATGTGGTGGCTCTCCATGAAAAATCCAGTAGGCTCCAACAGTCAAGCAGCATGTCCTTCCAGAGGCTTTTCCACTTGGTCTGGAGGTTGGATTTACGGCCATAGCAGTCCCAGTGGGACGTGGATTCAGCTCTGGATTGAGATGTAGTCCACCGAGATGTCTGTGTTCTAGCCCAAGGCATGTTTTTTGCATGAGGTGCCAATTACCCTGCATCAATGGCCTGCCTATTTTTCCTTGACTCTGAATGGCCCAGGGGTAAGGCATCAACAGTGACAATAGGGAACATGGCTTGTGAAGCATGCCGGAACATTAAAATAAAACAAGAATACAAAGCAGGCAAAGGTGACAAATGAGTTTTGGGCCTAGACTGGGAGGCTGTGGTTGGTAAATAGTTGAGCCTCCACTGAAGTTATCAAATGTAAGAGTGCTACAAATTAGTTTTGACACTTGAACAGCGCTGGAATGATATTCCACTTGAGCCAACTATATATCAGTATGCCCCGTTTGTCTAACAAGGCGTGCAAGTCAAAGCAACAATACTCGGACACAGACTAGAATTGAGCTGCCACTGCATATTTGTGAAAGATAGCAATAGTGAGCATGACACATTGTTCACCTTACAACCTCTACTCCTCTCTGACTACATAGTATCATTGTGAATCTAGGCCAGTCTTCCTTGGCAAACAATTCTAGACGACATCACCACACACTTAACCCTTAGCTAGGTCAGCCAGGAGCCTTTAGGCAAAAATTAAGGCAACTGTGCGAATACATCCCAGTCTTACCATCTCTTTCTGCTCACTCTAGCGGAATCCCAATTGATCTACTTCTAAGGTAGGAATGCGTGCAAGTCAGTTAATATTTCAGTGTTATGTCCATGCTTTTATTTGGGATGCACCAATCCTAATCTGGTTTATGTATAGGACGAATACAGTGGGACTTGGGATTTAGCCTAGATGTCTGTCTTTAGCTCTGAAATAGACTGAGCTCATATGACATAATGTAACTAGCAAGCTTTTTGGCCTTATTTCAGTCATCAGGCTTGGCACAAACAGATTGCAGTGCCTGTCATTCTGTAGAACATCATTGGCAATTAAGTCAACCTGAGGTGCTACTAAACAAAGCTATAACACCTCCTACCTGTACAGTTTGCACTAAGGTATGCCTTAACGGTACTGGTACATTAAGTAGGTGTATATTTAGGCACAGGGAGCTAATTCTTTATGTAGAGCAAGGCAGTAGTGATATATCGCGTTTGGCTCACAGGAAGACTTACCTTGTCTCATGTGTCTGCTGTCTTCCCCACCTCTGACAAATAGATGCACATAGCTATTGCTTGGCTTGCTTATCCATGTGCCCTAATTGGACAAAAGAGCCATTCCTTCCTCCAGACACCAGCCCTCTTCCCATGGTGCCAGTGGGCAGGCCAGCTCCACCTGCTTGGGTGTTAGGATGGATTTCAGTCAGCATCCAGACTAGAACAGAGTTCAGTACCCACCATCACACAGGATGGGTTATATAAACAATTGGCCAAATTGGATGTATGCCTGGTTGTTTAATTTTGTGCCAACAGTTGAGGGAACAGACTGGAAATTTGTATGGCTTCAAAGTATAGGTTGTGTTGTAAGCTAGTGATTTTAACAAACTAACCGTAGCATTAAACTTTGGCGTATAACTTGTCCTGCAAGTTGAGTGCTACTTCAAATTACACAACTTGTTTAGGAGAGGTGTGCTATTTGTTGTGATTGAACTTATGATGGTCACCTGGACTTGTTCTTCATTGGAAATTTGTTGATTAATTTGAATTTTGTTTAATTAATTATTGTATTTAATTATTGGAATAAATTATTTATTTAAATGGAAAATGATTGAAAACTAAAAATATACTGAAGGTCTGTTCACACCAAAACGAGCAACACAGGCTCACTGGAAATACGCGCTTGTGGCGACATTTCTGCAACAACATTATTACATACCTGACTGGTATCGCAGCAGTTGCAAAGTTAAATGTTCAGTGAGTTGCACTAAAACGTGTTCAATGTGCAACTGTGGCTATTACATTGGTACAGGCACGTATTGCTGTGCTTTTATTACGTTGGTTCAGATGCGTATTGCGGCGGTTCAGAACTCAAATGTCCAGGGAGTGTCGCAAAAAGAATAATGCTCTATCATGTTGGAAAATAACACAGACCATCCCAACCCTAAACCTACCTGATAATGTTAATGTTGCAAAATTGATATAAAAACACATTCGCTGATGCAACCCTGCTATGAGCTGTTTTGTCAAACTATTGTTTCACAGGATTTGCACCGGAGTGCAATATTATGTCATTACATAATATTGTGCAAGGACAAGTTTTGCAGAATTGTAGGCAGAGGCATGTATTTTTAGTGAGCCTGGGTAGCAACAGAATTTTGGGTGTAAAAATTTTGTGCGATACATATCTTAATTTGATTGAATGGCTGTCAATGCCTCTGTTCAGACCTACACAAATAATCACATATCGTCAATCCAGCAGTTTTTTTTTTTTTTTTTTGGAGAGGTGTTCTCTAATCTCTTTTCCATTGCACTGCAAATAAAGCTGGCCAACCAATCAAATTCACACTTATAAAACACATTTTGTTAAGTGACAAAGTGAATATCAGAGGAGAAATCCGGAACTAGCTCTCTTGCCTGTGTACTTGTATTTGTTGTTGTTTGATAAACACCATATTAGATACAAAAAAAAATCTGAACATCTGTTTGAAAATTTGTGAATACTGTATTATTTCCTTTATATTTTCTGTGAAAGTGAGTTTTAGAAACTGGAAGTCATGTAGCGTTTTGTGTAGCAAGTTAATTGGGGTATTTATGTTTTTCAGTAATTGCCACCGAAGTCAGAAAGTGAAATTCCCCTCATTCAGTCCATTTGTGTTTTTTTTTTTTTTTGGTCTGAACAGACAAATTGTATGC